GAGGCAGAAGGTGGGATTATCCCCATTTCACAGATGAACACACAAAGGTAAGGGATGAAGTCACTTGCTCAGGGCCACAGAGCTACTAAGTGGTAGAACTGGGCTCAGAACCAGATATGTCTGCTTCAGAATCAGGTTTCTCACCTGCACGATTCTAAGTGGCCTGCCTGCCTTTGGGTGCTGTCTCCCCTGGAGTCTACACTGCACGCAGCTCCAGGGCTGTCTTTCTGAAACTCACATCTGATCATGTCAGTGACTTGCTTAAGAACAGACCCCATGCTGTTGTGCCTCCCTGTCTTCACATGTACTGTACTTTTTGCCTCAAGCACCTTCCCCCACTGTCCTGCCCTAGCCTGCCTATCTGCCTTTCTAAGTTGAACTCATCCTGAAGCCATCCGTTTGCAGTGATGTCCCTTCTCCCTCCTCCAGCTCACAAGAGCGGCTATGGCTGCCTCCATCCCAGCACCTAGACTCAGGTTGTATTCATCTGGTTGTCTACCCTTACACTGCTTCTTAAAAGCAGAGTCAGGGCAGATTCCCCCTCTGAATACCCAGTATCCAGGAATGGCACCTGGTTGCTAAATAGGAATTAAAAAATTTCACTTATTCATATTTCCCAAGTGCCAGCCCCTGTGCCAGGGGCAGGACATAGAGCAGGAATAAGGTAGGTGAGGTCCCTGCCCTCAAGGGCCCCACAGTAGTAGGTGAGACAGAGAATAGGCATTTATAATACAGGGTGACTGGTACCTGAATGGGGCACCTTGGGTGACTGCAAGGGCACTTGATTTAGCCCCAGAAGAGTTCTGATCCTGTCCAGAAGAGACCTGGGCTAGACAACAGAGAGAGAAACAGTTTGGCACCCTGGGGTAGAGATCCTGGATGTGAGGCTTGCTTCATTGATTTGTTGATCAATTCATTCATTCCACAGATATCTTCTCTGCCTGGCAGAGTGGGTATTGTAGGTTCAACAGTAACTAAGACAGATACAGTTTTTCCCTTGTGGAGGTTGGAATAGAACCATCTCAGGCAGGACTTTGGGTATTCCTGGAGCTGGGCAGGTCCTCTGGCAACTCTTTGAGATAAGAATAGAGTTCATTTTAGTCTTTTCTATGGTGGTCTTGGGTCTGCCTGTCTGGAGGACTAGGCAACAGAGGAGGCTGAGGCTCCAGGCCTGCTGGCCCCCTCACCAGAGAATAGAGCTGACACAATAGCTTGATTGTGAGAGGCCTGGTTCCCTGCACCCAGCATTTTGACATTCCTGTGATCAGAGTGTGTCTATGACTGATGTGCACATGGAATGGGCCAATGCAGTGTTTTAACCCCTACCCCTCCAGCTGTTATTGAATCAGTCATATGACTTACAGTCCATGTGAGGGAATATGGTTTGTCATAGAAACTATTCCCAGTATCTGTTACCACAAACTCCAAGCTGCCTGTGGCTGAATAACCCTTCTATTGGGGTGCTTTATATGAATTTACAGAAAAGAAATGCTCAGCCTGTAATTCCAGCACTTTTTGAGAGGCTGAGGTGAGTGGATTGCCCAAGTCCGCGGGTTCGAGACCAGCCTGGGCAACTTGGCGAGACCTCGTCTCTACAGTAAATAAAAAATTAGTGGGGTGTGGTAGCCACGCGCCTGTAGTTCCCGCTACTTGGAAGGCTGAGGCGGAAAGATTGTTGGAGCCCAGTGGGTCAACAATAGGGTGGCTATGAGTGTGCTACTGTACTCTAGCCTGGGCGATAGAGTGAGATGCCAACTTAAAAAAAAAAAAAGAAAGAAATGCTGTTCAATGAATGAATTGACTCTTTCTTGAGATTTCTACAGTGTGGTTATCTAGGATGGTGACAGACTGGGATAGAATGAGCACAGGTCTGGGTTTGAATCTTTGCTTTTTGGTCCACTAGTGGAGAGACCTTGGGAGAGGTGCTGTACCCTTGAGTCTTAGTTTCCACTTCTATAAAGTGGGGACAGCACCACTTATCTTAAGGACCCTCTAGATCCACATGCCTCCTCTGCACAGCTCTCACACATCTGCCCAGTTTTGCTGGGCTGTGGGCTCTACAGAGCACAGCCCCTCCCCCATTTGCCTGCTGTCAGTTGAGACCATTCCAGATTAAATGGGCTATGATTCAGAGAGAGACCAGATGCTGAATGTATCTGCCTTGAGTAGGGCTGCTGTCTGTTATGTTTATTCTGTTGTAGCCACCAGTTGCCGTCTCCCTGATATTTTCTCAGGAATTGCTCAAGTGCGGACCAGTGTAGAAGGTGAGGACCTGAGCTCTGATTCTGTAGCCCTAAAGGAGCTTTCCAGTAGGCATATAGAAAGTGCATAAATGGTATCTCAGCCACATAGATGGGTGTTTCCCCAAGGCTCTTCCCCCTCTGAACTGTTACCAGTTTCCTGGTACTGATGTGGAGAGACAGTATCGCAGAGCACCCAGGCATATGGGTGTCTCCAACCTAGCCTGGAATCCCAGCTCCACTCCTCTGTGGCTATGTTACCACAGGTGCTCTGTGTAATTGTGCTGAGGCTCATCTATAAGGGGTAAAAATAATGTGTTTTGTCTCAAAGGTAGACTTCCATAAAGAACAAGGGATGCATCAAAATCAGGGGTAAGCACATGGTTTTCAGGGGGATTGGTGCAGCATTCTGTAGGACAGCAAACAAAGTGGACTTGGCTGCTGGGAGCACTGAGCTTGGCGCTCAGTGACAGAGGCAGAGTAAGAGAAGTCAAGGCATCTTGAACAAGGCAGTGGAGAGAGTTGGAAGAAAGGAGGGGCTTGGGAGCTATCCAGAGATGGGTTTGAGTTCCACATAATTACCTAACTATGTGACCTTGGGCAAGTTAACCTCTTGAGCCTTAGTCTTCCCATCTGTAAAATGCACTAGATGCTAAAACTAGAACCTACCTCCTAGGGTTGTGGTGAGAATAAAGTGAGATAATGTATGTGCCTTACTTAACCCACTGGGCACTTTGTAAGTCACTGTGGAATGGAGAACCAAATGGAAGAACAGCTTATTTGCTCTGCCTGTGAGCTTGCAGCAATATTATATAGTCCTCTCCTGGGCCATGTGCTTTACATGCTTTTGTCTATTCCACCACGACTGCCTTTATTGAGTAGTAATTATTTATATTCTTGTTAGCCAGGCCCATGAAGTCAGTCAGAACCTCTTCTCAGCCTGAGCTGCCAGAGAGGACAGTGAGCCACCAGGGTTCCTGGCTAGAACAGGGAAACCTGTGACTTCAGCAGCTTTGCTAGAGAAACAAACATTTAACATCACCTTTTCAAAATGCTTCCAAGAACACAGGGAGCCTGCTGGAACCTCTGGGGGCCATGGGACAGAAAACTCCTGTCCTGGGCTAAGATGTGTCAGTGTTGTCTGGTGTAAGACCCACCACACTTGGCTACCATAGTGTCAAACTTGGTGATGGCCATTCCTTGCCTCTTCTCTTGTATCTCTGAGATAGGCTTGGCAATCGGGCCTCCTAATGGTCTGACCTCCTGCAGCACTGAGGTAGCTCCATTTTCTCATCCACTGTGGTTCTGGCAGGGAGACCAGGAGCCAGACAAGCAGCACCTATGTGAGTGGTAGGATGCTCTTCTTCCTATAGGGTTAGTATTTGATCCTTTTATTAGTGTTTCTGTACTTTTCCTTAGCGTGGACTTTGAGGATGTGGACATGCTGCAGGTGGTCCCAAACCAAAATCCTAGACATAAAGCCCCCTGAGGGTCCCAGAAGGCCCCCAGTGTGGTTAGTAGTAGTGGCCAAGCATTGGCTCTACTGTGCGGGGCTTTCCGAAAACCCTAGCAGGTTGTGTCCAGAACAGGGAAAGAATTCAGGTCTCTACTCTTGCCTTCCCTCTGTGCTATTCTGATTGTTGTGGTCCCTAACAATCAGTGACTGGCATTTGTGGAGGGTTTGCCACATTCTGAAGAGATAAGGAAACTGAGGCTTAGAAAGGCTAAGTGTTCTGCCACTTGGCTGGTAAGTAGAAGAGACAGGATCTGAAGCCAGCTCGTGAGCACTACACTACTCTGCCTCCATTTGGAAAAATGTATGTGGGGAGCATTTGGGCAGCTTCAGAAGTGGCATTCTCAACTTTCCTCAGAGCCCTGGGTGAAAGGAGATCCTTTTCTAAGTAACCGAACTGGCCTCTGGGAGCTCTTATAATCCCACAGCGAGGCAATAGCTGACCCATGACACACATATCATAGAAGGAGAAGGGAAGGATCAGCGAAGAATTTCTGTGTTTGGAAATGTTATCTAACTCTGAGCGCTTTCAAGGGACTCAGTTTGTGGAACCCATAGTGTACCCCATGGAGTACCGGAAAGCCATGTCTTCTCTATACCTTGGTCACAGCCAGCCAGTTGGAAAGGCGGGATATCATCCAGTGCAAAAATCTCTGGGTGACACGTTCCTTTCTGTACTAGGCGCCTCCGCTCTCGTTACCAGCTGGAGGGATGTGAGCAGAGGCTGCCTAGTTCAGGAACTTTCTGAACAAGGGCTCCTAGCTGCCTAGGACAGCGTTTGCTTTTGCTTTTGCCTCAGCGTAGTCCCTGGCTGGGGTGCATAGCCACCCGAAGTTTAAAAGTGACTTCCCAAGCCTTCAGGCTACTCCTGCTATCTGTGACTCTTTCAGTCCACTGCACCCTAAGCCCACACCTACACACATGCACATGCACACACCTCAGCTGCCCAGCCGTGCCAGGAGCTGCCTGCCTTCACCCCAAAGGCTCTTTGTCCAAAGGAAGAGAGTGGGGCTTACTGATGCAGTCCTCAAAATCCTAGTCCCCAAACACCACCAAATGTCCACAGGTCCTGTCCCGGAGATGCCTTGTAGATGACTTGAAGTGAAAATAGGGAGTGACCCTCTCTGGGATCTGGCTATGCACTCCACTACCCAGCTGGAGGGGACAGGGTTCCTGAACCCCCTATCCATGGGCCAGCTGCTGCCTTTCTCCCCCTGCTCCTTGCTGCCACAGAGCTGGCCCCTTACCTCTTCCCTCCTGCTTGGCTCCTGGGGTAGCTCCTCACATGCTTCACCTTGGCCGTCAGCGGGGCAGCCTGTCCATGGCCTCCAGGAAGGGTTCCCAAGTCGCAGGCCAAACCAGCCGCCGAGCAGCCCTGCCTCACTGGGCTCTGTTGGCTCTGTCTCCACAGCCGGGCTCCAGCAGGGGATAGGGCCGGGTTGGCTAGGGGTCCTGCTGGGGCTGCTCACAACCTGCTTTCCCTCACAGTGAGGGCCAGCAGCTGCCTCAGTGCCATGCTCTGCAGGTCCCGGGGCTCACACAGCACCACTCAGGGTTTGGGGTCCATCCTCAGGCCGTCTACAGCAGCCTCATTTGAACTCCCAACTCCTTTGTGGAGCCTTTACATGCCGCCAGAGGAAACTGTGAGCACAGCCTGACCCTGGTTGGCTGCAGGCGCTTCTCTCCACCCACCAGTGCAAGAGGATCCCCCAGGCCCCAGAAAGGCTCTGGGCCTCCCCTCAGCCCCAGACAGAGGCGGGCCGCCTGGTGATGTCACACTAGCTCCAGCCCCAGCTGGCCTGGCCCCTCCCGCCCAGCCCGCTTTGGCGGCGGCCTCTGCGGGCCCCCTCCTTCCTTGGCACAGGCAGCCTGGCCAGCTCTGCTCCCTGGCCCGCCCTCTCCCCAAAGCCCGGCCAGCTCCCGCGTGCTCTGCGAGGCGGAGCGCTTCCCCTTTGACTCAGGGAATGGGCTTAGATCCGCTCCAGCTGTGCATGCAACCGGCAGTGTGTGAGCAGCAGGCAGTGAGTTCTATTGCTGGATGCCTCATTGGGCACTGCCACACAGAGCCTCAAGCTGACAGGCTGGGCAGCTCAGGCTGAAGGCCTCTCCTCATTAGCCACCTTTAATGGAGGTCTCACTCTCATCTCTAAACTCTGGGGGAGAGAGTTCATGGCAGCTGAAAGTCAGGAGGCAGTAGCTTAGGACAGTGGAAATAACCACAGGCTGGGCATGGGGGCAGCACTGGAGAAAAGCTTTGTCACTTCTTACATGAATGGCTTTGATTAAGTCACTTCATCTCTCCGAGCATCCCTTACATGCATCAGGAAATGAGCTAATTAATACTACTAATCTACCTCCAAGGGCTGCAGTGAGGATTCTGTGAGGTCACATGGGAAAGGACTTGGCACAGAGTCAAGGACACCTCCTTGAACTGCACTCAGGACTGTGGAGATGGGTGGGCCAGAGATCTCACACTCGCAGAACTTCTGCTGTGTGATTCTGTTTGGGCCCAGTGTTTTCATCAAAATATGACCTCCTGTTGGACTCTTCCAGGAACAAATCCTGTAACTCCATCAGAATCCTCAGCATGAAGCTAGCCACATAGGTGGAGCTCTGCGAATGTTTATAGAATCAGAGCAAAGAAGATGGCACCAGAGTCTACAATGCAGGCATCCTGAAGCATTGTCAGGCTGGGAGAAGGCAGTCAGAGGCGGGAGGGCCAGGCCTGCAGGTGGGTCCCCTGCAGGGATGCAGGAGTAGGAGAGTGGTAAGCACCAGGAGGAAGCCCCAGAGCACAACTTTCTCCTGTACTTGGACAACAGTGTGTGAAATATTGGTGATGACGTTTCTTTCCTTTTTCAAAATGTTTTACTGATAATAGTATGATGGTATTTGGGTTACAACTTGGAAGAAACACTTTAATGTGACTCTCCTACCGCTAGGCACAGTGGGTCATGTTCCTGGTCCCTGGCCAGATGGGTTCACTTTGTTCTCCCCTCCTCAGGACTGTCACTGCTGTCTCTATAGGGAGAAAACTTTTCTTCTTGCCTCAACTTCTTCTCAGCCTGCTTAGACTATCTCCCTTTCAATCTGTCAGTTTGATCACTTTTTAGAAGGTAGACCCTCACTTTGCCAGTAGACCCTCAGGATCTTACAGGTCACATTAGCCCACATTAGCTGGATTAGGCCAGCAGCCCAAAGTACTCCCTGAATCTGCCATGGAATGAAGATCTGGCCATTCTGTGGATCCTCCAAAAATCCTGGAGGGCACCCAGTGGGGCTTTGGTGGGCTGGGGGCCCAAGGTCAGTAGAAGGCCATGGGATAGTGCTGAATTCTTCTCCTTGAGTTGCGCCTTTGGCAGGATGAGGGCACCCATATTTTGTAACACCGAGAAAACAGTGGGAGGTTGGTATGTCTTTCTTTTTTTCCTTCCTTCTCATTCCTCTCTCTCTCTGTTCCTGCCTACTTCACTGTCTGGCCCTTCTCTGTCTCTCCTCCTTTTTTCCCCCTCCTTTCTTCCTTCCCTCCCCCCTTCTTTCCCTCTCTGTCTCCATCCAGGAAGTGTTTGTTGGTAACATGCTCTTAGCCAATACCAGAAAGCCAAGTGCCTCTCCTGGGAGAGCTGGCAGTCAGGATGGGAGACAGACTGAGTGTGGTGTATAAGGAATCCTGGGCACTGAGACCTGATCATGCCTCAGCAGTCTGGCTGGGCTCGACTAAGCAGTGCTTAAGCTGCAGCCTGAGGATGGTTGGTGAGAAGGGACAGGACTTGGGGTTGGAGAGAGGATGATCTGGGCAGAGAGAACAGCACATAAAGACCCTGTGGCATATTGCTCTTTCAAGATGACTCCAGCAATTTCTCCCAGTTAACAAAGAGACCTATTCCCATTGAGAGGTGGGATCTATGCCCCTCCCTTGAATCTGAATCTGAGAGGGTTTGTGACTTGCCTGTGACCAGAGGAATGTGGTGGAAGTGGTACCTAACTTCTGAGGCTGGATGAGGAAAGCCTCTGTCCTGTTTACTGCGGCACTCTCTTTTGGAGCCCTGAGCCAGGCTGGAGCCTAAGAAGTCCAGAAACTACCAGACAGATACCACTTGCAGTGTCAGTCTCAGCCAATGGCAGCATGAACCCCTGGACATGTGAGGAAAGATACCTATAGATGATTCCAGCCCCTAGCCATCAAGTCATCCCAAAACATTGTATCACTCTCAGTTTTAGTCTTCCTGTTGAGGCCCCAGATGTCAGGGAGCAGAGATAAGCTGTTCCATTGTTCCATATCCAAATTCCTGACCCACAGAACCTATAAGTATAATAAGATAGTTGTTTTGGTAGTAATTTGTTATATAGCAGAAGTAACTGGAACAGACCCTGAGGCAAGGATAGTTGTAAGGTGTTCTTTAGAGAAGCTGTAAGAAGTACATTTTGGCTGAGGAGAGAAGATGGGGTTTTGAGAGAGGTGGGACTTTATTCCAAGGACAGTTGAGAGCCATTGACAGATTTTAAGCAAGACAGTGTTGAGAAAGCTTTATTTTTAAAAGACTACATTACGGCCAGGCACTGTGACTTTTGCCTGTAATCCCAGTACTTTGGAAGACTGAGGTAGGAGGATCACTTGAGGCCAGGAGTTTGAGACCGGCCTGGGCAACATAGAGAAGCTTGGCTCTACAAAAATTAAAAAAAACATTTTATTCAGACATGGTGACACATGTCTGTAGTCTCATCTACTCAGGAGGATGAGGTGGAAGGATCACCTGAGCCCAGGAGTTCGAGGCTGCTGTGAGCTATGATTGTATCACTGCACTCTAACTTGGGTGATATAGTGAGACCCAATTTCAAAAAAAATTAAATAAAGATAAATAGATAAAAGGCCACATTAGTTATTGAGTGGAGACTAGATTAATGTGAACTACAAAGTATTCTAGAACTTTTCCATACTCTGGGAACAGGTGTAGCCCAAGCCCCTTGGCTACTAAAACGAATTTGTTTTCACAATTCAAAGTTCCTAGGACCCCATCAGTGAAGGAGGAATACCAGGGTGCCTTGCCCTGCCCATCTTTGCACACTCCCTGTCCTATTGGTGACCTTGGGCAGTCCAGTGCTCTACTGGGGAACTTGTGCTCTTACTACTCAGTACTCTGAGCCTCACTTTCCTATCTGTAAAATATGGATGATATAAGGATTTTCCTCATAAGACTTTTGTGAAAATTAAACACAATATGACACATTAAGTGTAATATACATTGCCTAGTTAATAATTCAATAAATGTTGGCTGCCATAGTTTTTATTGCTTCCTTCAATGGACTGTTAGTAACATGGGAAGTGGTGTGTGCAGACCATGAAGAACTCTTCTTTTGTGTAACCCAGTGGAGAAGAGTAAATAAATGAATGCTGACTGGAGGAGCATAAAGAGCTATGGCTCAAAGTCTAACAGACCAGGACTCAAATCCCAACTCTGTCACTGATCTTGGGCAACTTTATTATTCTCTCTGAAACTTTATTTCCTCATTTTAAAAGAGGGGATGATACAATACTCCTTGGGGTTAGTGTGAGGACATTCATGAATGAGATGATGGATCTAAGCACTCAGTGCAGTACCTGGCATCAGCATTTGGCAGTTGCTCAGGAATTGCATATGGCTGCTGCTCTTCCCTGCTCTCAGACTCCTTTCCACTCTCACCCTGATCACCTCCATCAACCTTCTAACTTGGTGACTTCTGGGTCTCAGAGTCCTCCTGACCTCCGAGAGGTCAATGTTCCCACATTTCCACTTGCCTATTGGATGGAAGCATCATGTGACTAAAGCATTTGAGAAAAAGAGAATCTTCATTTTCCTTTCTGTAGTTTTTATTAGGATGAAAAATGTATGACATTTACATGGTGGTGGAATACCAAGAATTTTAATGTGCCACAGTTTACTAGGGGAACCCCCACAAAAACGGAATTATATTTTATAGAGTGGGCTGCTTGTAGTACAGTCTTCCCCCTCTAGGTAACTGTTCTAGGAACCCATCATCATCAGTGTACCGGCTAGTTATGAGAGGTGGTGTTTGACTTCAGTGAATTTATTTTGGAGATTCTTTCAATGCATTTGCCATTTTATAATGGGTGATTTATGAGCACAAGTGCACCTGCACTGAATGTTCAGCAGTTTTTGGTTAAAAATGGCATGACCCATGTGCCCCATCCTCTCTATTTGTCCAATCTTACCCCCAAGGAACTTTTTTTGTTTCCTTGGATGAAAAATGTCCTCTAAGGGAAACGATTTGCCTGTGTGGAAGAGGTGAAACAAAAATGGCAGAAGGCTGGGCATGGCGGCTAATTCCTATAATCCCAGTACTTTGGGAGGTGGAGGCGAGAGGATTGCCTGAGCTCAGGGATTCGAGACCAGCCTGAGCAACATGGCCAGACCTTGTCTCTACAATAAATAAAAAAATTAGCCAGGCATATTGGCACATGCCTTTGGTTCCAGCTACTTGGAAGGCTGAGGTGGAAGGATTGCCTGAGCCCAGCAGGTTGAGGCTGTGGTGACCGTGAGTGTGCCACAGCACTCTAACCTGGGCCACTGCAGTCCAGCCTCCAACTCAAAACAAAAACAAACAAACAAACAAAAAAACCACAGCAGAAGCACTAAAAGGCATCAAAATTGACAAGTTAAAAAACTGTTTTGAGCAGTGGAAAAAAATCTTGATAGGTGTATTACATCAAAAGGAGAGTACTTTGAAGGTGACTAAAGTTTAAACA